TACAAGTCCCTCCGTCAGGAGGCAACCCCAACAAAAGGTTGCTAGAGGTTATGAGGATGTTAAATATGCTAGAGTGAGCAGCCAGACCATGCGGAGGCAATATTACGACTAAGACATCTTTAAATAAGATAGAAAAACTTATTTTTTACAATATGAAGCTTCAATGGCGTGCTAATTTAGGCATATGCATCCAATTCTCGTTCAAGACTAAGACTAACAATCCACGATATCGAAACAAGGGGCAAATTATTAGATTGCAGTGATCTGTCACTTCCGAAACGATGGTGCGCGTTTACCGACGTGGTCGGGAAGCATCATTGCCCTAAGGATCGTCTTCATCCCGAAAACGGTACCATGAGTTGCATAAATACGTGGAAACCAAAAGTGTAAACTTGCGCACGGGGCGGGCAGCCAGATACTTTTAGTGTGTATAACATAAATTAAAGCGCTTCAAGCTAACCGTGTAGGGAAGGGTGATATTACATAAAGGCGGCTCCGTTAATGAGCAGAGGTACTTCCGTATATGCGTCAGAGAGCCTCTGATTCAAACTTACTAAATCATATACGAAAAGGCTGTCGAAGAACTCAAATTGCCCTGTAAATCAATGGTTAACATGAAACAGAAGTAATAAGTTGTTGGATATCGCTGGTCTCTTGGAGAAGAACTGCGGTCAGTCATATTCGAGTGGGGAGGGGCGAAACTGTACAAAGTAAAGGAAATGGTTGTCGGAATGAAGGATGAGAAAGGCTGATCATAGGATAGTTATGGCACCAGTAGTGCAGTCCCGTGTTGTCTGGCTGACGATCTGCCCATCGACTTCTTCTGTAACAGTTTCTACGTTGTTCTCGCGCACCTTGGTGACGCGAACCACTCTTCCATTTTCGACGCGACAACTGGAGGAAACGGACCGCATGGAGCCTCCTAGCCCGCCACCAAATGACGAAGAACTGCTGACGGAAGTAAAGCCACCGCCCATTTGCGGATCAAATGCATCAAAGGCGGACAATCCACCACCGAAGAAGGACCCAAACATACCGCCAAGCATACCGTCGAGGAGACCACCTCCACCACCATAAGGTCGAAGATCATTGTGGTGTGAGGCTCTTCTCTGTTGACGAGAGTAAGGAGTTCCATTATGACGTGCACTGCTATTAGCAGTTGTAGCAGAACGATGTACACGATGGACTGGAGCAGCGAACATGGAACCAAAAAGTTGGTCAAATCCTGAGTCGCCAAAAACCTCTCGGAAAATGTCCATAGGGTCGTGGAATACAAACGGTGTAAAGAAGGGATCTGCGGTGGAATAGCGTGCACTGCCTCTGCGGGCTGGACCACCATTTACAATACCCTCCTTACCATAGAGATCATACAGTTCGCGCTTCCGGGGGTCGGAGAGAACTTCGTAAGCTTCACCCAGTAGTTTAAATCGGTGCTCTGCTTCTTCTTTGTTGTTGGGGTTCTTATCAGGATGCCAGCGAAGTGCAAGCCGTCGGTATGCCTTCTTAATTACTTCACCATCGGCATTACGATCAACTTCCAAAAGGGTGTAATAATCCTCTTCCATTGCGACCAACCCCCGAAATGGACCGCCAAGACTAGCGCTAGGTAAGTGAAAGTCGCGCCGGAATTTACTGGAAGATTTGGCGCTTCGATCAACTTGTGTTAGGAATGAAAGCCAAGTGCCAGAAGGTCATGACTACTCTAGATAAATGGGGGTTTTGATGTTGACCTAACTATTTGAATAAATATATGCTAAATCTGGTCAGCTATCTGCGGACATTAATGCAAACAGTAAGCAAAATAAGGCGTTTTAGATATATTAGTGGAAAGTGGAAAGAAATGACAACGAGCGAACAAGACTTGAATAAAAATGCGGATTAATGGTAAAAGATCTCTGCCCTTTCACATACACCTTAAAGGAAAAAGCTTTATAAATGTTATGTGGATTGAACATTGCATGAAGCCCTTCTTTAACTGTTTAGATTGCTCTCCTTTGAACTCCTTATATCTATTCTGATCACGAACTCTCCACGGTCTCCGTGCTTGTAATGCGTATTGCGAATGAGTCTACACGAGTGATCAGAAAATCTAGGGGTGTTATTTCCATCAAAGTCCATAAAAGCTCTTTTGATGGCGTGAAACACGGGCAGCGCGTTCCTCGCCACTTTCGAGCAATGTAAGACCTGTTTTAAGGAGATCGTCCTCAGCACGCCGCGGCCTGTTTGATAAGAATGCCTCGAAAATCTGCGACTTTTACAAAAGTAATTTTACTGTTGACGGATCTGGCTGGATTGCTTCGGCAAAGTAGTTTACACTTACCGATTTTGAATGGTATAATCCGACAAGCTGATCACTCTTGTCGGCAGCCCATATATCAGCAGGGTTTCCGATTTAATTGCAGATTTTCAATGCGTCGACAAATATTGCGGCTTCGCAGCTCAAATATCTTCCACAATAGTCCGCCTGAAACTGAAAAGAAGTCATACTTTATGCTGGTCGTCGGTCTCCAGTTTTCCGTCTGCAAGTTTATGGGCAAGGATCAGTTCCAGAGGGCTCTTTGTATGTCGTTTGTATGATTTTGGAGGTTGTCAACGCATTGTGTAGCATTTCAGCTCATATTTCTTCCGCAGGTTAGTAGCTTCACTTTTACAAGTAGTACGTTGCTACTTATATTCTTGTGCGTAAAATCCAACCCCACCTCCACGCTGGTGCGCGCCGGAAACTTGCT